TACACGTCCATGATCTTAGTCAGTTTACCGTCGAGGACCAGCAGCGAACTGATATTCGATAATTTCAAAAATCTTGTTTATTATAAGGTTGGAGGTAGCGCTGGCTGGGACGGAAAGTTTTCGAATGTAGTACCATGTACAGTAGCCGAGATAGGTATTTCTGGAATCGAAGCCTATATAAAGCAGACGACAAGCTAGTCGATTTGGGATATCTGATTAGCAATTGGTGCAACGCCTCGACGGCGCCATGTGAGAAACAGTATGTTGTTGAGACCAGCCAGTAAGACGTGGAGGTCGTTCCGTCACGGCATAGTGGTGCGTCCCCCAGACTTCGTATGCCAGACATCGAGATCTGAGTAAGCCCTCTAGTTTCGTTGCTAGGAGCGGAGTGTACTTCGCCCAACACAGATCGGATACAACAGATAACGGCAAAGTATAAATTCAGTGGGCAAAACTATCGTGAACTTGCGGATCCTGTAAAATACATGGTTATACGCACCTCACACAAGGAAAACGTTAAAGAGGTCTACAGCCTACATTAAGATAGAACATGTAAGATATGATCTGCAAGTAACCCTGGGGGAGCTTCAGAGATGTACGTGCACCTTACTTGAGGAAAAGACTGACTACCTCAGAGCCTACGTTGACGCTAAGTCGCCTCATTGCATATTTTGATCTCGATGTAGGCTGCAGCCTGTCTAGTATTTGCCTTGTCTGAGTGAGGTGCAGCCATCTCTGAATTTACCCCAGGGTCACTCACAGATCAAATCTTACATCTTCTGAGACGCGACGAACGATCTGCGGGAGACTTGCATGTAGCTGCTGTCATGAGATGCAATTACTTGCATCCACCCTTGCTGGAGAAAAAGCCGAGAGATGCATGGTGACGTTGACGGGTAACTTGCTGCAGGGACGGGGGTCGCCTGGCGCGAACATAATACAGCGCTATAACAGAGGTACAAGTTTTGTTGGGACGACGGTCTTGTACTGTATGCATAGTGACCTTTGCAGGAACGTAGAGGCGTTGCTACCTGGGTACATAGGGTGCCAAGGACGGTCGAAAGAGGGGTTATATGCCGCTTCGTGATGTGGAGGTATAGCACTTGAGTGATTAGTAGGGTAAGGACAGTTGCGAACCAGGAACGACCGTGATCGTAGAAACAAGCAGTCTTTGATACTGTTGGGTAGGTAGTAAGAAGGCAGATGGAACTAGCAACGCCGTCGTTCAAGTGTGTCGACTGTCGAGCGGACCAAAGGGCTAAGGTGATATCCACGCTAACGCTCACGGAAAGCTGAATCGGGGCCTTCCAGAGCTCGACGCTCCCATAGCCCGGTAATTTATAGCATGTCGTCGATCCGTGAACCATTGGCGATGACTGCGGACAATAGCCCTCTGACATCTGTCACCCATCGGGTCGCGAAATTGCGGACCGGCTGTCGACGAGTCGAAGACGCCACCCGAGGGTACGAGGGCCGGTCTGGTCTGCGCGAACACGTGGAGGTGCATCGCCGTGAGTGAGTCTACGATATGCGGTGGATCGATTGGCTGCAATGTGCGATCGTAGAGTTTGTGACACAGCGACCCGGGCCCGCGATGCATGCGTAGTGCTGCTTGATGTACAATCGGTCAGGAGGGTGTGCAGCTGCGTGCTACCATTGCCCGCGACTCTCATGCAGCGGGCACGCGCTAGACGCGCATTGGGAGCGGATATTCTGTAGCCCCAGAAGTGTGAGACATGGTCACGATGGCAGAAGTGAAGTCCCAAAGTGGTGGAGGCAAAGCACAACAGGGAGGTGGATATATACCAGCAGCCGCGGCCCAGCTGGCATGAGTGTGGACCCGAGTCTGGCCAGACACTTCTAGGATTCTAAGATTGATTTCTCCGAGCGTCCAGTTCATCTCGGCAAAGGCTCTCACATGACAGTCGAATAGGTGTCTCGAGGGCTTCTGCGCTGCGTCCCAGGCTGGACAGACCCTGCAGCGCCTCGCATCTGCCCCGCAGTCGCCTGGCCAATATCTCCCAGCTGCAGCACCTCATACGGAACCCTCTCCGGAACTGCTCCAGCCCATGCATGCGCTCATCCCGCTGCTTCTTACTTAACAGCCAATTAACCGCCAATCACGCCTGCCTGGCTCCACCGTCTCTCCTGCTCCCTCTCGTCGCGTGTAGAGAGACAGGCTGCTTGGTGATAGCTGCGCGTCTTCTGCCTGTACAGCACGGCCCGGTGGGCCAGCAGTCTAGCCTTTTTCTGCTCTCACGAGACCCGCTCCCGGGCCTCGCATCGTGAGTCGCACACTCTTCAGCGCTCCACGTACCTTTACATCGTGACCCGCCAGCGCATTCGGCGGGCCTCACCGCGCGCATTTCCAGCCACTTTACGCTACTGCCCATGGCCACCGTTTGTACAAGACGGCAGCGAGCTTCGGAACGGCGCTTGCATACCAGTTCCAGCCAGCTTGACCAAGTCAGGACGCAATCCTTCTAGCGTCACTTGACCCTACAAACCAACGCCACGCCCCGAGGCTATCGATTATCGTGTCTTCAATAATTCCGTCTACCAGCACTACCCGTCTTCATCATCTCCTGGACGCCCGCCTGCCGTACTCCTGCTACACAAGCACCCTCACATCCATCGCCAACCGCCAATACCAATACGAACCCCATCCTGGTCGACACGCTAGCCGCGCTGATCGTCACCTCCAAGTGTAAGCTAACATCCTATACTACACTGGAGTTTTGTTGATCCATGGCAGACAAAGCACATACTTCATCGCACATCACTCTCTCCGACTATTCCTCGACACGCTCTCCGTCTGCACAGTATATCGGTAGACATCGGCAACATATCCACACGTCCAAATGATCCAAGTCTGTCACTCGGCCCCTCCATACAAGACCGTGCATCCGAGGCGACTCGTGCTTGCACCGGTCATACAAAACCAAACCACAATGAATCCCCCCTCAGCACCCAACCCGGCAGGCGACGCAGGCGTACTACCAGACTTCAACAACCTCAGCCTCCAGGACGCACCATCACCGCCTGCCAACGACGACGATCTCGACGTTTTGACCATGTCACGGGAAACCGCCATGAAGTTGATCGCACGCTCAATAATTGCCATTGCCAATGCAGCTGGCGATGTGCCCGCCACACCACCACTTTCGCGGCCCGGGACGCCTGGCGGACGGGAAAACCACCTCATACGCTCCCACCGACGGACAGCGTCCAGACCAGCGACGCCTATCCCCGCCGAAAAAGAGAATCACCAACCGACCGAGCTAGCTCCACCGGAAGCGGGTCACGATGAGCCCGTCACCATACACGACATTGGCGCCGGAGCGCAGCCCGAGTCCGTGCAACGAGCCAACATGGCTCGCAAGTTTTTCTCCAAGACGGTGCCCAAAGTCGGCGTTGAGGAGTACATGAACCGCATCCAGAGGTTCTGTCCGCTGTCCACGGGTGTCTGGCTAGCTGCTGGGTCGTACATGTTGCGATTATGCGTTATCGATAGGAGCGTTCCCCTCACATACCGGACGATGCATCGGCTCATCCTGGCTTGCGCCCTCGTAGCGATGAAGGCATTAGAAGATCACAGGTGGCCGCAGAAGCGCTTTGCTGCCGTAGGAGGTGTCGACGAGGCGGCACTCAGCCGACTTGAGCTATGTGTAGAGTTCTTGTTGTCGTTTGACGTACAAATCTTCACACCAGAGAAGCTCAAGGAGCTGACACTTCAACTGCAAAAGGCGGGACAGGCTGCAACCATGACCTGTAGATTACCGACATCCTTCAGCCTGAAGATGAACAACCCAAAAGTACGGAATGCGCAGGCTGTTTGAATTGGAACGACACTAGGGCAAGCATCTCGTTTTGTTTGGAATTTTAGGATATCCCCATCTAGCATGGCAATGGCGTTTGAGTAGCAAAACACGGGCATGACGGCCAGAGAAGCGTCTGTACTATAGACACCAAGAGGTGTACTGGAGAGAATCTCAAAAATTTCGACGTGCAAACACAGGCTGCATTGAAACCCACTTTTGGCGGTAGAATGTGGAGACCCGATAATGTAGATTCAGGTACCGGCTCCAAGTGGAGGAGATGCGAGCCGAGCAAGTCATGTGCAGGCCGAGATAGCTGCTGATAGTGTTGTTGAGTATCCATGGAAACAATGGCAATCACTGCAATTGGCAGATTGTTGACTTGGATCATGTACGTCCTTTTTCCATGGTGTTGAGGCGTCGCAATGAGACGACCATCCTTGCCAATCACAGTTTAGCGTGCGCGGCAACGACGATCGTGCCCCTGGCGCGCCGCATGTTGCTTGATTGATTCCAGACTGCATCCTTCACCCGACACTAACAGCCACCGCCCAACAGCCGCCTTTACCTGCCTACACTCAACGTCTGCCTATATCGCATTCAAGATCCGCATACATTGCGTGCATCGTGCCCCTCGCTCTACCATCGGACAGCGCTCGACGCTCGCTTTCACGCCACACCGCTGCCCGCCCGTCACTCGTTGCCCTCACAAATACTCACCATGACGCGGATATTACTTCCCTTTGCCGCAGTCGTCGCTGCTCTTTCTCCACTCGTCAGTGCCGGGATCAAGTTCACATCACCGAAAGCGGGCGACAAGATTGCGGCTGGAGGAGCCGTCACAGTAAAATGGGAAGAAGGTGGCACAGGACCGAAGCTCGCAGACCTGACAACGTATGAGTTGCAGGTGATCGTGGGAGGCAACGATGGCACTGAGCAGGTAGGTTGCGAAGAGTGGCATCAGCACAGGCGCAACGAAAAGATGCTAATGAGGGGAAACAGTTCCCAGTGGGCGTCATCACAACAAGCGGCGCGTTCACAGCGGGCAACACAGCCTCGGGCAGAATCGAAACATCTCAGTCTGAAGACCTGAAAGATGTCAATGCCTAGTAAGTTCCAACCTGAAACCCAGCTCAACGACCGGCAGATCTGACCGCCATAGCTTCATCAAGATGATCGCAGTTGGCAAGACTGGCGGTCAGCTCCTCACCTACTCCGATCGCTTCCAGTTCAGTGGCATGACGGGCAAGAACATTCTGAGCCCCGCGGTCAAAGCCGCCGTCAAGGACATCGATACCACAACCGGGCCGCCGACCGTAGACACGACGACCGATGGGACGAATCCTGCTGACCCCGATCCGGTTGATGACGACGTATACAAGGTGGACTACGCGATGCAGACGGGCTTGACGCGTTATGCGCCCATGCAGCCTGTACCGCCTACCAAGATCACCGCCAAGAACACAAAGCCTTTGTACCCTACAAGCAGCGTCAAGATTGCGAAGTCGAGGCTGCCGATCCCGAGCCAATTGACTACGCTTACGCAGAGTCAAACCTTCTCTGTTAAGAGCATGGAAAACACGGTACGTTCTTTGGGGTGTATAGATACGCTAGAAGCTTTACTGACATCTTTTAGGTTGCCGCAGCTCCTCACGCCACCGACGACATGGCCAAATTCCTGAGGCGCTGGCAGGACTAGATTTCCCTCTACCACATGCATTACCGATTCGAGAACGAACGCATCGGACGAAACAAAGCGACTGTGCTCCACCGTACGACAAAGCATAAACACCCAACTCTCGTGCGAAAGACTTTGGGGTCAGTATTCGGAGCCATATCGCATTGGTCAGCTTGGCTGCAGCATGGACACGTGCGATTTTGGAGGTATCATTGATCTATCGCATGGATTGACAACGGCATAATGGACCGGCGTTTGGGGTTCGAGCGTGTTTTGCGGCGTCAGACGACTTGTTGTGGGTTGGGAATTTAGACATGATTATGTAGTACTACGAAAATTAGCGAAGCGACATGCATATCTGTACATCCAACAAAGGTTCGCGACGTGCAATTGATGATCACGTTCAGAATAGTTGCACCTTCCTGTTATGATCGAGACTGGTAGACCGCGGCTACCCGTCAGATGCAAGCTCACCCCACCACCCCACATTCGCGGCCTGTAGCTATCAGCGCGCCTAACAAACAGCAAAGCTCCTTCAAGCTCCCCATGCGTGCCCTGCTACCTCAAATCAGTCGTTCACTTCGACACACTTTACGACCACGTCTGCCATCACCAACAACACACTCAGCGACTGCAACACCTTGTTTTTACACCTTATCTGCAGAGAGCGGAAGCTGGACCAACGTGCACAAGATGGCGATTGCCGAAAACTATGAAGAGGTGCTAAAGGGCAAATACCCGGCCAAGGCACATGCAAAGAAGGTCGCGGAGTGGATCATCGAGAAGGGTGGAGACAAGAACGGAACTATCTACCTGGAAGCGCAGAAGCAGAAGTTGAACGAAGTATGCATTCATGATGATGTTAGTCACAACACAGACTAATGTACTTGCCAGGACAACGACGGCGAGGCACCATTCCGGTAGGCATCATTTGGGTCGAGGTGAGCATGCGCTGACCCTTTCATATAGTCAGCGACGGTACTTCTTCTATCTCAGCGGCTGCGAGCTGCCAGATTCGTATCTTGTATACGAGATTGCCACCGAGAAGCTCACACTCTTCATCCCTCCTGTAGAGCCGGATGAGGTTATCTGGTCTGGTCTGCCCATGAGCCCGGAAGAGGCCAAGGCCAAGTACGACATTGACGAATGTCTGACTACCAAAGACGTCAACTCTCACCTGGCAAGCCAATCCGAATCCGCGCAATCAACTGTTTACGCTATTCCGGAGCAGGTATCCGACCACATCACTTTTATTTCCTATAAAGAGAAGGAGCTCAAGCAGCTCAAGACCGCCATCGAGTACTGCCGCGTCACAAAGACAGACTATGAGATCGCCCTCATCCGCAAAGCAAATGTCATCTCAACAGCAGCCCACGAGGCCGTCATGAAGGCTGCGTCGAAAGCGCAGAACGAATGCGAACTTGAGGCTGTCTTCCTTAAGGCGTGTGTAGAGCGCAACGCGAAGAACCAAGCCTACCATTCTATCGTGGCTGCCGGCGAACACGCCGCGACGCTGCACTATGTCAACAATGCCGCTCCCATCTCGGATCAGAACCTTTTATTGTTAGACGCAGGATGCGAGGTCGACTGCTACGCTTCCGACATTACACGCACGTTCCCCGTGAAAGGCAAATTCACAACTGAATCCCTTGCTATCTATAAGATCGTTCTCGACATGCAACATCAGTGCACAAACGCGCTCAAAGCTGGTGTCGTATGGGACCACGTACACGAGCTCGCCCATAAGATCGCTATCAAGGGACTCCTGGAACTCGGTATCTTGAAGGGCGATGCGGAGGAGCTCTTCAACAAGAGGATCAGCGTAGCTTTCTTCCCTCACGGTCTAGGACACTACTTGGGAATGGACACCCACGATTCTGGCGGCGACCCCAACTACGCGGACAAGGACGTCATGTTCAGGTACCTAAGAAAGAGGGGAACTCTACCCGAACGCAGCGTCATTACCGTTGAGCCTGGTGTTTACTTCTGCAAGTTCATCATTGAGCCGTACCTCAAGGACGAAGAAAAGAAGAAGTACATTGATGAGAGTGTGCTGGACAAGTACTGGAGTGTGGGTGGTGTGAGGATCGAAGGTATGCTGACACAATGAAGGGTGTTGAAAGTATGCTAACGTATTGCAGATAACGTGCTCGTTACCAAAGATGGTTTTGAGAACCTGACGCCGACGGTCAAGGAGATTGATGATATTACTCAGTTGATTGTATCTGGACAGTAGGGTGACTCCGTCGCCGTCGCGCAACTTGAATACATAGTCATGTAGCGTAACCAACGCAATCGCAACCGCACTGGCCATGGTTGGGCTTCATTAGGATTGTATGCACTATCCAACCCTTGAAAAGCCTGTGCACGATACAAATACGCAAGCCGAATATGAAATGTTGAACTGCTCAACACACTGAGCAATGTAAAGACGGCACTCAGGAGCGCGACAGCTCTAGGAGTAGCTACTATTCCTGTCGCAACATACCAACAAAAAACCGAGGTAGAAGTATACATCACATCAGGAAGTACAAACTTATCAAGTTTTAGCGACGTGTATGCAGCAAAGTGCGACCTGGTTTTGAGCACCCGCGGGGATAGTGGTCTTGTAGAGCATAAAGTGTTTCGTCTTTCTAGATGCTCACTAGTCTAATTATACAGAAACGAAGGCAAAAAACGCGTATAAAAGTGATTGTATAGAAAAGAAGAGAGCAGCACCTGGTACAAGGGAAAATTTGAACAGGCCTGCAGCATACAACAGAGTAAACATATCCAGACTAGAAGACTTGGCTCCATTGTAGGCTCCAGAGTATCCTGAGTTTCCCTCGATTAAGGTGGCAGCGTTTGGGAAGCGCAGAGTTGAATTGGAATCTCTTCCATGAGTCTCCACGCTCTAGTTGGGCTGCAATAACGCTAAGGTAGCGATGCAGTAACCGTATCCGGCCCAAAGGTTAGAGCAATCTTCGCTCAACTGTGAGTTAAGTCGACGCAACGTGGCCAAAGGGACTGGTGCGGCCTCGCAGGTACTGCCGTCTGAAGGAGTATAGTATTTGATGCAGCCTTCCACAGTGCCGGTGATGCTAGTGTCCAGGACACCACTGTCAGCAGTCTGAGCATTGCCATTCTCCTTGGGCGCTGGCTGTTCATCGACGGTCTGATGTTGTTCAAGATCAAGTTCCTGATCGTTGTCGTCGTTGTCGTTGTTGACAGTCTCGCGGCCCGCGGTCTGGGTCAGGCTAGCGACAGCACCGTTGTCGCAGCTACTGTCCCCGAAAGGAGCGATGAGACGATTCGCAATGTCTGAAGCGTAGCACGCGGTAGCGCCTTGACCCAAGTTTGGATCTGTGACCTGATCGCCGGAGTTGTAGAGACGCGCTGCTTTGTAGTACTTGCTGTCGTCCGGGGTGGCACCGAAGGCGTCCAGCGCCTTCTTCAGACTTAACCTTAGACCTTCTCCGGTGGTACCTTCGTGGATCATGTCGTGGATCACGTTGGTGGGGCAGGGCGAGATGGTATGGCAGGAGGCAGTACCTGCGCCCTGCATAAGTCCCGCTGGTGTACAAAGTCAGTGTATGTATCTCACGTAGTTCGGGATGAGACACTTACGGTTGGGCGCGTCGGACGCAGTAGTGGGAGCACGAACACAGCCCTTGGACTCTTGCATCATTATGGCGAGAATGAGCTCTTTGGGAACGCCAGAAGCTGCTGACTCTGACTCAATACTGTCCTTGATGGCCTGAGTTTCAGCGTCGCTGTTGTTGTCGCCCCAGCCGTGACTTTCGCAAGAGCCCTTGATAACGTCTTGGTTGGATGCCCTACTAATGTGTAAGTGAATAACATACTCTTGTCTTGATGGAAACATACCAGGCGTCCTCGAAAGACTTCCATTCGCTCTGCCTCGGCCATCCCGCAGCGGTTGACCCGTCACCACCAAAAGTGATGTAAGCAGCTCGCGGAGCTAGAGTAGTAGATGTTGCGACACGAGAGTAAAGCGGGAACGCGGTTCCAAAAGCGATGAAGCTGCTAGCAGCGAAGATAGAGATTGGTAACATTGTTGTTGTAGTCGAAAAGCTGTTGGTCTAATGCAAATCTTGGGTGAAGAAGTACGATATACTAGAAGGTTTGTATGCTGTAATATGCACTAGGCAGGTTGGTCTGATACTCGTATTAGCATTGTAGTCCCCAAACCATTTTTTGGGGTTGCTGTCCGACGTTGAAAATGTATACGTACGCGGTAGACGGCCAACTGCACTCAGGCGTTGAAAAAGAAGAAAAGCTTCTGAACTGAGGACTAGGAAGAATACAGGGAAAAGAATGTGAAAAGCTGCTTTGGCGATGAGGTCCTTGAAGTAGTCGCGCAGTAAAGGCGATACATTCGAAACGAACACCACGAAAGTACCCACAGTTGTAAGCGACAAGAACAATCACTTCGCCCGGAAGGCCTTGCAATTTCTCGAGGTTCTTGGGAAATTTTTGCCTTGCGAGGTGAATGTCGCAAACGCCGCCCCTGGGCATCCCTGTCCGCCTTACCCGCGCCCGTACCTGAACGTTTCCGAAGGGGGCGATATTACGCAACGACACTACATATAGTTCTCGGTTGATCGCGTGTAACCCGAGACCCGAAGATCCTAGATAAAGCGATTCTTTCGATGTGCGATACTGTTGCTGAGCGCATATTGAGTTGCTGCAAGATATGGTGACTGGCCCAACATGGTCAGTTGATGGTGTGAATCTCTCGAGACCCGAGGCGAAAGCTGACCCCATGACGGAGGAGACGCTAAAGACACTCCTGTTTCTCAGTGAAAGGAGGGAGGCCGATTGTTGCAGAGTGGAACAGATAGAGCTTCCCAAGGCTGATTTTCAATAAAGTCAGCACAATCTCGCCCATGTAGCCCCGAGACATGTATAATACGACGTTGGGGCACAAAAGTATGGAGATCTTACAGCCCCTTTGAATGCAATAAGAAACCCTCGACAAGGCTGATGTGGGGGTTGGAAGAGCAA